TGTATTAATATTTCTTTCTTCCAAAATGGATTCATAGTTAAACAATGGGTTATTTTCATACAACAATTAAAGAAAAATTAGTTATTACTTTATCATCATCATCATTATTATTGTTATGGATAAAATTTATTTGTATTTAAAAGTTTCTTTTGCCAACTGTATATTTATTATAAAAATATAAATGAAGGCGGGATCACTACACATCCATTTATGGTATAATCCCAGACTGTATTTTGTAGCAGACTTTCATGTATATGGTAATAGTAGGTGCAGTGTTGTGCCATTTATGGTTCCGATAAAATTTCATTGGAGCATTCTAATAAATTCCAATGGAATTGGAACATTCCAAATGTGGATGAAATTCAATTATAGTGTCATACATACGAATTTTATTGGTTAATATCAACTGAAGATCTACATTGGATGTTCCAATTGCACAACACTGAGTAAGTGTAACACGATCTACATTGTAAATCACATGATTAGGCTGTTAAATTCGAATAAAACAACAATCTGATTAAAAAAATTTTCATTTTTTCTTCATAGTTTTTGTAATAATAGTAATAGTTGTAGTTCTCGATTTCGCATATTTAGTGGATAAAATACCAAGAACATCTGCTAGTACCTTACCATGCTTATTTGCTTCTTTTCACTTAAATATTCTGAGAACAATTTTAATTGATCTTGGAGATGAGCATCAGAAAGGAACGTATTTTCTTGAATTATATTTATTATCTATTTAAATATATAGATTAACCATCTACAAAGGTATTTTGGTCTGAATTTCCAATTATTGCAAAATATTTACTAAAGCTTGTTTAAAGAATTAGGTAAAAATATTTAGAGAGTAAATTAGTGCTATGTAAGCAAGAAAGAAGAAAGGCGGAGGTATTGTATGAATCAGTAAATACTGCAGTTTAAAAAGAATACACATTTTAGCTAATAAAATTAGTTATTTATAAAAAGAAAATTTTGATTTTATCTTTCCCAAGTAATTTTTTTGAATCTTTTTGATAAATAATTATGCAAATCTATCTATTCAAATTAGTGGTAGAAAAACTTTAGCCGGCTTATCAAATAATTTACTAGACAAATATTTTTATGATAAAAAAAAAAATCCTTTTAACATTCATTTTTATGTCCGAAATTTTAGTGCAGAATTCAGTGGCATAGACATTTAGTTGAGACGTGTCCATCTGCATTACTTAGAATGACAAAAGAAAAAAACATACATTTGCTCAAAAAAGAAAAAAAAATAATACTCGTAGCAGGATAAATATAATAATAAAGAAGGCAAATTAAATAGTAATAATGGCGGCGAATTAGGAGATATTAATATAACAACAACAACAACAACAACAATAACGATAGTAGCAGTAATAATAATCAGTAAGCTTAGTAACATCTAATTAATTTAGCCACCTCATACAATTAATTCAAATACCAACATATATTCATTTGTGTTTGGATCTTTGGTGATTCCAAAGCATGAATTAATTTAATATTTGCTTTTAACTAAAAAGATCAATAATTACAATTATTGTTATAATTAATAAATAACATTTATAAAAAAATTAATATTAAAAGTTTCGCCTATTTACAATACCTAAAATTTTATCATTTCATTCAAAATTTGTTGAAACGAGATTACTAATCGCGCTTCAACGAATTTGTATCTTTTCATAAGGTGTAACAAGATTTTTAAAAATTCGTTGATTGAAACGCGAATTTAATTATAATTCGCTGGAATGAAGTTCGTTGAAACGAGAGTTTGACTATACTTGAAAAATAGTTTTTTTTGTGCTCAATAATTTAAAAACCGAAAATTTCGGAGTTTTAGAAAAGATATTGGGATTAAGGTTTCTCTCTTTATTAGTAGCCGAAATTGCCGAAACACTTTAGGAAAAAATTACTTTTTTATAAGCCCAAACTATTTTTTGTTATTAGCCGAAATTGGGCGAAATTACTTTAAAGTTGTTTAAGTTAAAATAAGTCGATTGGTATAGTTTTTTAATGTTCATGTTATAAAAAATACTGAGAAGCCCAAATTGCCCAAACTGGTTTGGGCTTTGATAAAACAGTTTGGACCGGAAACCTTATTTGTAACACGAAAAGCAAAAGCTCACAATGCGTTCTCGGTTGTAAGCTTGTTAATTCTTAAGAAATCAGTTCATTCCCATGAAACTCTGATTTACTTTTTTCAGTTAGACGGTTTTATTGTTTTTTTATTATTTATTTTAAACGGTCAAAATATTCATTACACGATTCAATGTCAATTTTTTTGAATATTAATTTTCTGATGCTTCAAATTTTTATCCTTTTATCCTATTATTATACAATGGGTCTATATTTTACAACTCCAAGACGTTTTGCCTTCCGTTACTTCATTTGGCAAGTTTTTAATTTGATTTTTCCTCGTCGACATTTTATCTTATTATTATTATCACAATAGATTTACAGTTTACAACTCCAAGGTGTTTTATCTTTCAATACTTAATTTGGCAAGTTTTTATTTTTATACATCAAACTATTTTTCCTTACCAAGAAAAAATTTAAAATGAATTAGTGAAAAGAAGACTAATATAATAATGAAAGTTACGTTTAACATTAAAAAAAAAAAAAAAAGATGTTATCAACACTAGTATGTGTGTATGACCGAAAACATTCATCCAATCCTTTCTTCCAAACTAAAAAAATTTTTTGAACAGTCTCGACTAACGTTAGAGAATTTGCAAAATATGCATGCACAGAAAAGTCATAAATAAAATAATAGTGATTTTTGCAAGACGATATGTTGATGATAGATGCAAGTTTGTTGCTGGAAAATAAGTTAACATTTTTTTATGTCCATAATAATAAACTTGCCAGTAAAATTTATTTCTAATAAACGTAAGAGACCTATTGTGAATTGGAAAAGAAAACCGCAATTTAATTTTCATATGTCGCAGCTAGTTGCAATTAATCGAGGAAGTGATGTTTGACAGTTGTGAGAATAATTAGCTGAAAGAGAAGGCGAATTATCGTGGTAAATGAAGAATCGGGTTAGAGAACGTGATTATTACCAAAGAGCAAGCATTAAAGAGTATCAATTAATCAATTAATCAATTAATAATCCTAACGATATGGAGATAGTAAGCAAATTGAGAGCAAGTAATTATTTGCAAAACAAAGAGATTTTTTGCAAGATCTGGGTATTTTTGTTTCAGCAGCTAAAAAACAAGAAATTAGTGCCGCTACTTTAGCATTTTCAAGTAGTAGAAATTAAAAAAACGGTTTAGTTTGATGAATTAGAGAAGGAGAGAAGAATGCTTGTTATTTAAATATTGTTTTAATAGGTGCTTCTAGGTTGATCAATAATTTAAAGAATAGTATTTTCTTTTTGTTCATTTTCATAGTCATTCAGGAACTAAACAAGACAAGAAATTATTCAAGACTTAAGAAAAGGAAGATCCCAAAATAAATCCAAAGCAAAAACTAATTGAATTGTTCCAGATAAAGCATGATCAACTAAAGTGAAGGGAATTTATACATTTGGATTGATCGCTCTGATTATCTTGGGAAAAACCAGATATAATTGTGGTGTTGAACAATTTTGACCCTGAAATTTCTTTGTAAAATAATTGTTCATTTTGTCTGGCATATATATTTAGTATTAGCACAAAAAAACAAGTTTCTCAATTTTGTTGTTGCCTTCATAAAAAGTTTCTTATCTTTGATGCAGTGTAATCATACATTTTGCCATAACAATAATAATTACTATATCTCTGCGAAACATGGCTTTTACTTTGACACTAAACAAAGCAGGAAACAATGGAACGGGTTATTGGTCATTTGACTAATTACATTAATACAGAAAAATGAATGTTAATTTGAATAAAGTTATTATTTAAAATTGCATAGTTATTTGTAATAATCCAGAAGAACTTATCAATCCTTTAAGACTTAACAACTCGAATATAGTATTTGGCATTTGAAAGAAGAACGAGTGGAATTTTCTATCACATTGACAGGATATTTCGAATTCCGTTCATTTCAAGTGTATTTTGAAAAATGGTTAGTAAATAAGATTCGTGTGTAATTTACGCCCTACATCGCAAAACAAAGAAATTCTCACGCTTCATACTTCTACTGTTGCACAGGCAAATTTTACTTTAAAAACAATTGAATGAATGAAGACCAACTTATCGAGTTTAATAACTTGTTTTTTTAAACATCACATATTGACTGACTGAGATGCCTTAAACATAACCAGTTTTTTTCGAAACAAAATTTCGAGCCCTGGTATAACGTGCATTGATTATCTGTTATCTCTCACTTTATCCCCTGAATTTTTTTTCTATAAAAAATTAAAATTTTAAATTTAAAAAAAATTTCCCCAATTTTTTTTTCGTAAAAAATGAATTACGACATCAAACAAATAAATGACCCAATTCATGTAAATAAATATATTTTAAAATCTATAATAAAAAAAATCATTAAACTGAAAATCAAAATAATTTTGTTACATTGTTATTGTAGGGATATATGGAATTTGATGATTGGGCTATAGAAGTCATCGACACACCAGAATTTCAAAGACTAAGAAACCTTAAACAATTAGGGACTACATATTTTGTTTATCCTGGAGCAAGTCATAATAGATTTGAACATTGTCTAGGAGTTGGTCATTTATCAAATAAACTGTTGAAGCAACTTTATAAAAATCAACCTGAACTTAAATCTGAGTCATTTGAGTCTGATCTAAAATGTGTGACATTGGCAGGTTTATGCCATGATTTAGGTCATGGACCTTTTAGTCATGTTTTTGATAATCGTGTTATTCCTAAACTTGGGTAATTTATTCAATTGTTTTTATTATTATTTATTATTATAATTTTACATTTTTATATAATGTTATTTTATTTAGAGTTAAATGGAGTCATGAAGAGGGGTCAGTAAAGATGTTTGATCATTTAATCGACGAGAATCATATTGATTTGAATCCAGAAGAGGTAAAACTTATTAAATCTTTAATAACTGGTAAAGATCCTTCCAGGTAACCAAATGAATTTTTTGTTATGAATTTTTTACATTGAATAAAATGTTTCCTAATGAAAATCTTTAATTACTACTAAAAATAGAAATAAATCAGAAAATAGTGGGCGTGAATTTTTATTTGATATTGTGGCAAACAAACGTAATTCAATTGATGTGGATAAATTTGATTATTTGGAGCGAGATTGTTATAATATAGGAATAAAATCATCATATGACAGCTCGCGACTAATGAAGTTTAGTCGTGTCATCGATGATCAAATCTGTTATAGTCATAAGGAATCTCATAACATCTATGAGTTATTTCATACAAGATATTCCTTGCACAAAAAAGTTTATCAACATCCCGTAGGTAAATAATATTTCATTATTATTTCTATTTTCAGTGGAAGACCATTTAGCAGATAGACAAATTGATCGATTAATTAACTAGATGCTTATAAATTTAGCTACAGCAATTGATCATATGTTGGCAGACGCTTTAGTTATGGCAAATGATGTTTTCAAATTTTCAGAATCGATTTTTGATCCTGGAGAGTATTTAAAATTGGATGACAGCATTCTTAATCAAATTGAATTTTCAAAAGATGAGGTAAAATTGAAAATTAAAAACCAATTGGTGATACGTTAAATATATTAATATTATATATATATGTTATTATTAGAGATTAAAAGATTCTCAAGAAATTTTGAAAAGAATTAGAAAGAGGCAATTATACAAATTAGTTGATGAATTATTAATACCTTCTAGTATGGAAGATAAGATTACAAAAGTAAGATCAATCAATTAGTTAATAGTTGACTATTTATATCAAGCTAAATTTTACCATCACCGTTATTTCGTTATTTTTATTATAAATTAGAAACATATTGAAGATTTAATGGCTTCAAATCGATCAGATTTCCATGAAGAAGATATAATTGTCCATAAACACAAAATCAATTATTCTAAAAAAAGTGACAATCCTGTGGATTCTGTAAAATTTTATAAAAAACATTGTGATAAAGGTGAATATTATTATATGTGTGTGTATAGGAATATGCAACTTTGATTATTTCGTTCAAATATATTATTTGTAGTTTTTAATATAGATAGAAATGAAACAAGTTATTTAGCACCCGAACAATTCGAAGAAGTAGTAATACGTATATATACTAAGAAATCCGATCAAGTATTATTATTTCTATTCTATAAATATATTTGATAACTCGTAAACATATCATTCTAACATTATAACAATTATTATATTTTAGTTGGGAAGAATTCAAAATGCATTTCGTGATTTGATAAAGAAACATTATTCTATCACCACTGCATCTACTGATTATAGTAGCGGTTATGGTAGCGTGTCAATATCATAAAAAATTATTTATTTTCTCTGAATATATATGCATTTTAATCCTTTTTAATTCTTTTTAAAAAAATAGTGAATAGGATAAATCCTAATCCTAAACCACCTCTATCAAATCCTAATACTAGACCATTTCTATCAATTAGTAATGGTGGTCCTCCTTTACCAGTTGATTTTATTTATAAAAAAAGGAGAAGAAGTTCATCATCATCATCTAATAGTGGCAAGATTAATGAATGAGAAATAAATAAAATAAACAATAAAATTCCCAACTCAATGTATTTTATTATTTATTTATGTAAAATAAAAATGTAAAATATATATTATTTATATTATTACTAATCTGTAAATATACCACGTTGTCTTATTTAAATAATGCCAAATCTCAATTGATTAATTAAAGGAGGGAAAAGTTGATACTACTAATGATGATAAATATGATTATTTTTTGGGTAAAACTCTGATTATATATAATCTTTACAATAAATACTAATGTTGTATGTACGTATGACCGAGGGAAAAAATCATTTCGTTAAATTCATTAGAAAGTGACGAATGAATGACTAAATTGAAAATTCTTCCAACAAATGCATTTACTATATTAAATTTATTATTCATTTAATTAAATCAATTTGTTGTTATATTGTCATTCTTTCAATCATTTATGGTTTTCTTCTTCCTCTCGAAAATCAACTATGCCTTTATTCTCATTACCACTATTACCATTATTTTTTTCTTTTGATTTATTGTCGTCAAAATTGTTAGCCTTTGGATATTTTCTTTTATAAAAAAAACATGAATCAATAAACCTATTGTCATCCAAATAAACAATCTTTCACTACTAGCTTCAGTTGTACTCGCCAACAACAACAAGTTTGATAAAGCACCAACAATTGGTACAAGGAATAGACCACCAGGTATTTTAAATCGTCTTAAATATTAGGATTATTTACAATAAAGAAGGCAAATAATGAGCAAATCAAGCTAGTGAAATATATAGTGCCTTAAATCAGAAAAAATAATCTGTGAAACTAATTTTTCCTTTGTATTATTATTATTACATTGCCATTGAATAAAAGATAGATACTAAAATCACAGAACTAATAGCACCTAAATCTGTAGTTATGGCAAGCCATCTTATACACATTTGATTTACTGCTACTGAAAGAGGTTCTGGGCTATTCAATTGTGTATATAATACAACACCTGTTAATACGAGGCTTTAAAAAATTTCAGATAACTTCTTTTTCACGAATAATACTATAATCATATCATACTAATATATAAATAATCATAACACCAATTGTTAGAGATTTTAGTTTCTTGTGCCGTGGTACTTGTAGTATCAAAACCGATGAATGCAAAAAATCACGTCACTAGTAGCCGACGAAACACCAGTGAGTCAAATTGACCTTGATTAGGCGGCATGATAGTTATTTTGATCAATATGGAAAATTATCAACTATAATAAAAATTATTAAAACAGTTGGAGATTCTTTGATTCTGATGATTAACAAAATCACAACTGTGAATGTTGGTAAATTTAACTATCCATTTGGAATCAATTGGAATGAGCTTGTTGTATGATTAAAAATTACTGGTCCTTGCATTCATGACTTGGATAATTGAATATTAAAAACTTTTTCAAAAAGTGTGTAAAATAATATCCTTTAATTCAGTGTCTAAAATCTATGTGCAAACGCTCGCTCCAAGCATAATAATTTATTTGCGCACAGTATAATTTTAGAGATGCGTACCGTCCGACCTCAATTTTGTGGCTTAATGTGCGGGATTTAGTTAGACCAAACAAAATATTAAAATTATATAAATATATATTAATGCCAGTTCACAAATACTTGTATAAAAAATCATTACTTTTTCTCTCAATATTTTTTTCTGACGAACTTTTTTAAATATAAGATATCCTTTTTTATTCACTCCATTCATATTAAAGCTTTTGAAAAGTATTCAAAAATGGATAAATTTGTTATTTGTGGAAAAAGTAATGAAAGATCCAAACAGGCATTAACTACACAAAAGCAAAAAAAATAAGGAAATAACCAGACAAGAATTAAATAAAGTATGTAAAGATTTTGATCCAATTTGATTACGAGTTTACTCTTGGCTTGAAAAAGTGAAGACAGTAATAGAAAGATGACAATGTTTTTTGAAAAGTATAAACAAAAGTTATCAATTGTTTATAATTGATTTTATAATCATGAACAAAAGCCATGCACAATGTTTAAAGAATAATTAATAATTTTTAAACGAATAATTTGATTAAGCGAATAAAACGAATAAAACAGCGAATAATTTGAATAAAAACGAGTAATTAGAATAAAGTGAATAAAATAAGTAATTCGAATAAAACAGCGAAACGAGTAATTCGAATAAAACAAATGAATAATTCGAATAATAATTTGTATTGCGAATAGAAACTCTACTATTATAAACAAGACCCGAAATATTTTAATTAAACGATTCTTTCACTTGGTCAAAAAGTGACGTAAATCTTTTCTTTTAAAATTAATTTATATGAAATAAACAATAAAATAAAGGGTTTAAGGTCACATGTCCGAAACACGATTAATTGAAATGTTTTTAGCATTCCTAATTTGGTATGTAGTACCGAATATTCATGATCTACATAAATGAATATTCGAATGTTCACTATTACTATTACTATTACTATTACTATTGTTTATAATAAAATATCCTTTTTATCCTGCCACTAGTTTTTATTATGGCTACCACTAAAGCGGTTAATTTTTTTTATGGATGAGAAAAATCGTGGGAGAAAAAATTTTAAAGTTTGATCGGCACAAAAAGATCGTGATTTTATTCTCTGGATGAAAAATTGGGGTGATTTTTAAAAAATATCTGTCAAATACGAAGCCACGCAGATTTGATTTAATATTAACATTAAAGGAAAAAGATATTTTTCTGCTCGGCCATGATAATGCTTTGCCATAAATATTAAATCTTTTTTTTTAAATATAAATTAAACGCTTGTTCATGTAGCTTAAGTTTATGAACATATGTACACCAACTTTATTTGTTTGTTTTCTTGCGTTAATATTAGCAAAAAAAAAATTTTTTTTTAATATAAAAACAATTATTCAAAATGTCTAACAATAGCCTTTTATCCTTCAATAATACCAACATGTTTTTTAACAATCTTATCAAATCTAACGAAACTCCTTTTCCATTAAAGCACATTTACGAACTTTTAAATAATTTAACAAACTTGTTGAATGAATCTGATTGTTATGATATGGAAATCAAAATTGGAGAAGGCAAGGAAATTTTCAAAGCCCATTCTAATATTTTGAAAGCAAGATCTTCGTATTTTAAAGTAGCATTATCAAATAATTGGGTAAAAAAATCCAAAGATGGAATTATTTTATTTGAAAAAGAAAATATCTCTCCAAAATCATTTAAAGTTCTTTTAACGTACGAATTATTTTTTTTAAATTATTGATTTCTTTTTTGTTTTAAACAAAAAAACTAATAAACTAATATCTCTAAAAAATTAAAAATATTTTTTTTTAAAGATATATCTATAATGGGATTGTTAATATTGATAATTTTAATCCAGATGAAATTCTTGAACTACTGGAAGCTTGTGATGAATTAAATTTTAATGAGTTAATTGAAGGTTTACAAAATCATTTATTTGTGGAAAATAAAGAATGGATACAGAAAAATTTAATTCATATTCATAAAGTTTCATCAAAACACCAATCATTTGACTTACTTCAAGCTTATTGTGATGAGATAATTAATGAAACTCCCGAATTATTATTTCTAAAGTCTAATGATATTGCAGCCATTGAAAAGTCAATGCTTATAACTATGTTGAAAAGTGATTTGTTAAAGTTAACTGAAATTGAAATTTGGGAGTATGTTATTCAATGGGGATTTGGGCAAAGGGAAGCATCGGAAAAAAATATTTCAGAGTGGAGCAAAGGTGATTTCATCGAAATGAAAAACATTTTAAATGATATTATTCCATTAGTGAGGTTCAATTTAATATCCTCAAATGATTTCTGTAAAAAAATTAAACAATACAGAAAAGTATTTAATAAAGATATATATGATGAGATTATTGAATACTATCTTGGTAATGAATGTCAGCCAAGATCATTTCTTCAAAAAGATCCAAGAATAGGACAAAGAGGAAAATTACTTGATTCAATAGCAGAACATTTTATATCTAATTGGATTAATGGTGTAAATAATAATAAAAATAGCCCATCATACAAATTTGAATTAATTTTTAGCAGTTCTAAAAATGGAACTTCAAGGTTAGCATTTGAAAAGAAATGTTACAATGTTAAACAAACAGTGGTTATTATGAAAATCAAAAACACTGGAGAATTAATTGGGGGATATAATCCAGTTTGCTGGAATATAAAAGAAATGTCACCTAATGATACATATCGGATTGAAACTGATAAAAGTTTTATTTTTAAAATTTATGGTTTAGACCATGCAATATTGAGTAAAGTCAAAAAACCTAAACGAGCAATTTATCATGACAAAACTGTTGTTAATCTAAGTGTAGACAACGTAAAATTTCATGAAAGATTAATTGATTTTAGTGATTTAGACATACGCAATAGTATTGATAATAAACCTTATTGTTATTATAATTCTCATAGTTATGAATATGATTTAAGTCTTGAAGATAGTAGCAAGAAAGTGCATTTATTAGAAGAATTTGAAATATATAGATTTCAATATTTAGTAACTGAATAAATTTTATTTAGAATTATAAGGTTTTTTTTTAAAATTTTTAGCTTGGTCACATGATCAGTCACATAAAATAAATCTCTTCTCAAGTTGTACCAATTACTATTATTCTATATGTATTCAACATATATACTGCCTGTAAGAAAGTATCCGAACCTGGTTTTTTATTAATTCCACAAATTTTCAATTAATTTTGTGATCTTCATCCTCCAAAAATCGTCCGCAATCGCCAAATCAATTTTTAAATAAGGATAACACGCATCTAACCCACCAATAAAAATTGGATTATTTTCATGATGCTGCGCAAAATTGTGGATGATTTTTGTGGAAAAATACCTCAAAATTTAAATTTGTTATTTAAAAAAAAAAAATAATCAGATGGTAAAAATTTTTTGATAATCACTTTTTGTTAATTGACCCAACATCCATTGCTTTAATCTGTGCCATTAAAAATATGTCTTATTCTGGTTTAGAGAGAACCTGAAAAGATTCTCTTAATTCTGCAAATTGTTCCTGGGAATTCTTGAAGAACAACCACAATTACATCTCTTTTCTAAAAAATCAATTGCTTTTTGATATTCAGCAGAACCATTGTACTTGTTATTACTTTTCATATACACTTATCTCTATATATATAATTTTGTGTTCACTTTGTAGTTTTTATAATTGTTTTAAAATTGAAGGAAAGTATATGGAATTAAACCAATGGAATAGTTTTAGGTAAATGATTTAAAAAAAAGAGAAATTGATCCCATGAACAAACAATCATAGTCTAGATTTAATTGTCCTATCATCAGTAATTAGTATAAGAAAAAGCAAACAGTAACTTTATTTCATTAAATAATAAGTAAAAAATAAAATGTTTCATATTTACATACTATTATTGTTTGCATTTATTTTATTTCATCAGTAATGATTAATAAAGTGTAATGGTACTACTAAATAGCAGGGTTGGCATGATGGACATATGGACTGATGGACATTGGTCAAATGCTCACTTGGTCTATTGGTCTATTTAGAATTTCCAATGGACCTTCATCTGTCCATTGAGTAGTCCATTTATTTTATTGGCTATCCAGGGGTGTGATGCAATGGACCACCAATGGACCACCAATGGATCAATGGACTTCCTGATCCATTGATGGTCTATTGAAAATTTCCTAATATGGATATATTATTACACAAATA